AAGAAGAAGAAGAAGAAGAAGAAGAAGAAGAAGAAGAAGAAGAAGAAATAATGAGTTTCACATGGACTTCATTCATCGGATAGTCTCTAACTTAGTCACTTACATTGTTTAGAAATTTAGTTGTGCAAGCTAAGAATCCTGAGTGTTACAGCACATTAGATATTTGAGAATATCTGCTTGGGGTATTATTAGCCATAAGAGTTCTGGACATTCTAACGTTGGCTAGATGTTCTGGGGTTATATTGTCTTCTAGGAATGTTGTGAGTTGCAATCCCAAGATGTCTAGAGAACATCAGGAACTGTCTACTATAACTCATTCTTATCCTTTTCTTGTCTTTGTTCCCCTCCATATTCAGGACAACATCAACATTGAGGAAGCTGCTCGGTGCTTGGTGAAACACATAATTTCCAGCGACAGTGAACCAGTGCAGTCTATCAAGCCAGATGTCATTAACCCTCAACTGAATCCCTCCAAACGCAATCCCTGCTCAGCTTGTTTCAGAACCTAAGGAATTTCCAAGCTGTTTATAGACATTGGAACTGAGCCCGTAAGAACTCATGAATAACCCATGAAGCAGGATCTCTCCAATGCGAGGCAGCTAGGCTTGCGTTGCTCTTGAGCAAACAGGAAACAAAGCAGAAACCAAGATTAGAACATGTGTATCGTTCCTCAACACATGGCTGGAAAGAAGAAAAGCCCCAAATATTTAAAACAAATATTTTCTATTATTCCTTTGAGTAGTTTGTTTGAGAATCATATGCAAATGGGACTTATTACCTGGGCAATTTATGTTAATTATACTTGCTCATCCAAAGTGTTTTCCTTAAAATACCCCTGGTGGGATTCAATGGGTGTAATAATTGGTTCAGAGAGAGAGTGCAGTATTTGAAAACTGCCCATTTTCAGCTCTAAATCTTACCTTCTGCTGCAGCCCCGGTGAGTAAAACAGCTGAGGCGTGGCAATAGGCTGTGGTGCGCAAAACAGCTGGGCTACAAAACACAGAAATGTAGGATGGACTAGGGCAGGGGTGGGTGGGGCCAACTAATCTCCGGAACTACCGGTTCGCATGAACCGGTCCAAACCAGCAGAATCCCACCCCTGCTTAAAAGACTAAGGCCATGATGGTGAACCTATGGCACGCATGTTGGAAGCGGCACGCAAAGCCATTTCTGCTGACATGTGAGCCGTCGCCCGGAATAGATCCACTGTGCATGCGCGCATGCCTCCCTCCAGCCAGCTGATTGTCGGGTATCTGCCACGCATGCATGGAGGGGCGGGGCACACTCGGGAGATGTGTGCGCATGCGCGGGGGGGGGGGGGGGGTCGTGTGTGCATGCACAGAGGTATCCAATGCACACAGGGGGTCGTGTCGCATGCACAGGGCATGGGGGGGTCACACACACATTGCATTATGGGTGCAGGCACACGTGTGTGCGTGCGCATGCACTTTCGGCATGTGACGATGAAAAGGTTAGCCATTACTGGACTAAGGTGTCCGAACATATTGTTTGTCATTTTCATTGTGTGAGAGTTACTCTCTTCAAGATGGCGACCTTTTGCCTTCTGAAGATTTTCTCATCATGCATCTCTATCGCAGTCGTGTTTGGGCACCTTGGTTTCATGGTTTATTTCCATGAATTCCTAAGTGGAGAGAAGCTGACGTAGTCTCAGCTCAGCATGATATAAAGTTAAACCTGACATCTTTCTGAATGGTATCACTCGATGTAAAACAGTCTGTTTAATGACCAAAGTTACAATGGTACTGGAAAAAGTGACTTATGACTGCTTTTCACACTTACGATCGTGGTGGCATCCCCATGGTCACATGATCAAAATTCAGACCTTTGGGCATTTATATCTATGATGAGTGGTGCAGTGGCCTAGAGGTGGACTCTTACCTCATGATCAGGAGACTGTGAGTTCGATCCTAGGTAGAGGCAGATATTTCTCTCTCTGGAACACAGTGAGAATATATCTGCTGAAAAAAAACCTCCGCATTAGTGATGGAAAGGGCATCCAGCCAGTAAACACGTAGCTCCATTCAGTTGCCCAGACTCCATCACACATGGGATTATGGGGTTGTTAAAAGAAGATGATGACATATTTATTCTGGTGGCTACAGTATCCCAGGGTCATGTAATCAACTTTTGTGACTTTTTGACAAGCAAAGTCAATGAAGAAGCCAGATTTACTTAACAAATGTGTTAGCAACTTCACAACTGTAGTGATTTGCTTAACATCTGTGGCACGAAAGGATGTAAAACAGGACAAAACTCTTCACAAATGTCTCTCTTAGCGACAGAAATTCTGGGCTCAATTTCAATCAAAAGTTTAGGACTACCTTTAATTACTCGGGGTTATTATTCACAGATTCAGAATAAGAAAACAGCGAATACAAAAGTGTGGATATTTTTCAGCCAACCTCTTTCATTATAAATAACAACTTCCAAAGGTTCAACATTAAAGTAGAATCTTTCTGGCCTTGGTTGTAAAACAGGGGTCGGGAACTATGGTCCTGGGGTCAAGATTCCCCCAAGGTAATTCCCACATCCCATTATCAAACCCAATCAGCTTGTGGGAGGGCAGCTCAGTAGTGGGATGCTGCCGGTTTGCACTGGTTCTAGCGAACCGGTAGCACCGGTGAGCAGTTGGCCTCGCCCACCCACCGCCACCCTTTCCAGTGCTTTATTACCTTGTTTGTGAGCTCGGCTGATTCGCACCGCAGAATGAACTGCCACGCCTCAGCTCTTTTACTCACCAGCGCTGAACACAAGGTCAGTTTTGAAGCCTAAAATCGATGGTTTATGGATGCTGCGCATGCACACGAAACACACTCACAAAAAACCGGTAGTAAAAAAAAGGGTGAATCCCACCACTGTGGCAGCTGTGGCAGAGACTATTCTTTTTCTCTCTCAAATTTTATTGATTTTTTTTAATGAATTACATTTCTTAATGCTTAATAAACATCATGTTGCCTGGGTAATTAATTTGCTTACAAATTCTGATTCTATTCTTAATCTTTTTTCCCAACCACTGGAAAAAGAGATTCCATGTTTGATACTATTCTGTGTCGTCTTTCTGCTTAATTTTCAATGTCGATTTATCCATTTCTGCACAATCTAGTATCTTCTTTAAAATCTCATTTTTTCCAATACTGTGCGAATATAATCTTTGCTGCTGTTACAACATGTAATGTTAAATACAGACATACTGAGAGATTATTCTTAATGTTCCAGATTGGGCCCTGATTTCAACAGTTTCATTAACATCCGTTCTCAAACATTTTTTTAAAAATTGATGGCCAGAAACGTTTAGAGATTTTTTTTAATAGCTTTCTCATTCTGTAAGAGTGAACTATATCCATTTTTGGAGGCTGCTTAATAAAACCCACGGCTGCTGTATGTAGAGAGAACAACAGTATGATGACTCTGAAAAGTTGGAAGGCTCAGACAATTTCCTCACCTGTAGAATTGTCTGCACCTGGATCATTGTAGACTTATTAAGTCTTTGGGGGAGCCTTATTAATAATTTTAGAGTTAAAAAAAATACTGAATTAACTGGAAGGATGTCCAAATCTCTACACCTGATACATTCACTGTTTTCTTATTTTGAATCTGCGAGCAATTGCACATAAATAATAAGTCTGCATTTGCAGAGACATGTTGTGCTTATCTCTAACTGTATAGAAAGGCAGTGTCAACTTCTGTTCACTTAGGAATTCAGTGAAGCATACAATTTGACCAGAGCTGCTTAAATCTTTGTATGCAGCGGTATCTACAAAAAGCAACAACAGTAATGGAACTGAATATTTTCATGGCAATTTGGAGATACGGATGATGGAATGTCTTGCCATATTTTTGGGAGATTTTTTTTAGGAAGGGTGTAGAATATCTATTTTGTATTGCAGCCCCAATGAAGAATGCTATAGTCCAATAGCATTGTCCACTATTTTGATGTCTCATTTTGGTATGAGTGGGTAGATGGAGGGAGAAATAGCATTCTTCAAATTACCTGGAAACAAGTCACAGAGAATAAAATCAAGACATATCATCTATTATCCCAGAGGTTAAAAAAAAAACAACCTAAAAAAATTCTAAATTTTGGGAAAGTGTGCAAATTAAAACACACTTTACCCATAAAAACAATTTGAAAGTGGAAGCATTTACCAAACATGCTTAGTCCTCAACTTACTTACCGTAATTGGAGTCAGAAAATTCATTGTTAGGTGAGGCATCACATGACTGCACCCATTATATAACTTTTCATGGCCACAGTTGTTAAGTAAATCCTGTGGACGTTAAATTGAATCTGGCTTTCTGCCTTGCCTTTGTTTGTTGGAATCCGACTGGGAAAGTCACACATTTTGTTCGCATGACTGCAGCACGCATTGTGTCCACATGCCTGCAAGATGCTGTAACTGTTGTAAAAGCCAGCCAGTTCCCAAGTACCCAGATTGTGATCACATGACTCCATGGTTGATGTGAAGGTTGTAATTTTGAGAGCGGGTTGTGAGTAGTTTCTTCAGCACCGTCTAAGCCATCATTGTACCAATGGTCATAAGGTTGGGGACTGCTTGTACTGTACGTTCAGATACAGGCTGCAAACCATCTGTTTGGGATAGCAATAGCACTTAGACTTACAGACTGCTTCATAATGCTTTACGGCCCTCTCTGAGCAGTTTACAGAGTCAGCCTCTTGCCCCCCAACAATCTGGGTCCTTATTTTACCCACCTCAGAAGGATGGAAGGCTGAGTTAACTTTGAGCCTGGTGAGATTCGATCTGCAAAATTGCAAGCAGCCGGCTGCAGCAGCTTGCAGTACTGCACTCTAACCACTGCCACTGGATGCTTTAATTTGTATTGCCAAAGCTAGGCTTTCCCAGGAGGAATGTATGGCTGTGAGGATTGGACCGTAAGGGAGGCTGAGTGCTAAAAAAATGGATGCTTTTGAGTTGTTGTGTTGGAGAAGACTCCTGAAAGACTGCAAGGAGATCCAATCAGACGATCCTAAGGGAAAATCAACCCTGACTGTCCTTTGGAAGGACAGATCCTGAAGCTGAAGCTCAAATCCTTTGGCCACCTAATGAGAAGAGAGGACTCCTTGGAGAAGACTGTAATGACCCGGGGCAAGGCACAGAGGCAACACAGTCAGCTGATAGTTCAAGCCACCCCTTTATTGCTCCAACTTTCCTCCAAACACTTCCACGTTTATGGCAAGTCCCAGAGCAAAGTGACTCTCTCTCTCTCTCTCTCTCTCTCTCTCTCACACACACACACACACACACACACACACACACTCACTCTCTCACTCTCTCACACACACACACACACCTCCAACAACCTCATACCTCCAACAATCTCTGGATGCAAGTAGCCCAGCACAATGCTGTGAGCACAACAGCAGCAAAGCAAGAAATCCAGTGGGGTAAGGGAATAAGTCAATGAGTCCAGGAAGCAAAGGAACAAGGCAATTAATCCAGGAAGCAAGAAATAAAGCAAGAAGTCCAGGAAACTTCCAACATTGGCAATGGCACACGACACTCCATGAATTCAGTGTTTGTTCCCAACAAATACCTCTCCCCACAGCAACTCCTTAAAGCTCATTCCCCAGGTGTGCCTTGTGAAGAGGGGCAGG